GAAAACAACCGCCACCATCATCAGATTCAATATGGAAAACTTGTTTCCATATATACACTTGTGATGATATATACAAGTTCCAAGACACATACTGTATATCATAATACCACTGCCAAAATCCATTGCATTAAATGGATAGCAAACATTTCAATGCATTTTGGGGATTGACTCGCTATTATATTTGAGCTAGGATCCTGAATATTTTTTTCGTTTATTTTTCTCTCACTCACTGAACTCTTCGGGGTTATCATCATTCTCTTGCTTTTGTATATATACATTGGTCGTCGTTTATCTTTGTGTCATTATCGTCGACCGCGGGCAAGACATTACCACCATCAAAAAAATAGTGTGCCTGCTTTTCTTCAACACACACACGTTTCATTTCGTTCGTTGTCGTTGTTGTTGTGTTTTCCATGGTGATCATCATCATTTTGGCCGTTTGGTTTTTTTCTTCTCTTCAATTTGGCAGCATTTGAAACAGTGGTAATAGTGTGTGTGTGGTGTGTAGATTGTGATACACGAGGGTAGTAGTTTGGAATATACCCTTCGGTTTTTTTGTTGTTTTTTTCGTTTCCTTTTTTTTTGCTGGGTTTTTTCTTCTTGTGCTGTGCTGTGTTTTGGTGTTTTACTCAAAAAGAAAAAAACCATCAAGAAAATAGTAGCAGTGTTCCTGGATCATCTTCGTCGTCTTCAATCCAGGATTCATCCTTGTTTTCTCGATCCCAAAAATCGATTTTTTAAATGGATCGAAAAAATGAAATTTCTGCAGCTTTATTATCGATAGTGTAATTATCATCGAAAAAGGTTGGTATTTTTGGTTTTTCTAATTAGTTTTTCTGCAAAAAAAATGTGAAATGAAATGAAATGAATCTTTCAAATGTGACATAGATTTAAGAGTGAAAACAAAAAACAAAAAAATATCCATCCATTCAATCAGACCTAAATCTACAAATCCGTAGATCTTGTAATTAGTAATTGTTTTTTTTTTTGGTTTTTTTGACATCAATCGATCAAATTTTAAATATATCTGATGTGTGGATGTTGTTTGTTTGTTTGATGATGATGATGATGATGATAAATGAAATGATGTTAAATGTCAAATGTTTTTGCAAACCAATATTCAATCTCACATTTGCATCTCCATTCATCGATCAATTTACAAAATGAGTAAAAAACAAAAAATTTAGAGATGCTAATTTGTTTTTCTGCCTTGATAATATTTCCTTTTGTTGATAACATTATATTCATAATCATAATTTTTTTTCTTGTTTTTTTTCTCCAATCAATACCAGGCCTATTCAAATGATGCTAATCAATCGAAATGTTTTAAATGATGATCTACATTTTCATAAATGTGTCTGATGTGGTGTTTTGTTTGTGAAAATTAACTCTTGGTTCAATCAACATAAAAATCAACAAATTTTTAATCAAATTTCTATTTCATTTGATCTCCAAAATTCATCATCATATTCAATCAATCTTTTTTCTATGGTGTTTCTATGGTGCTTTGATTCGTTTGTTTTCATTTTACACAAAATAAGGCCATTTGGCCCAAAAAAATCTCAATCAGTCTATTGATCTTTTCATTAAGTGTGTGGTGTGTGTTTTTTGATTTGTTAAAGTGTGTGTATGTTGTACGTGTGTAGCTTGTTCCAAATTTGTTCCAAACACTATGTAATTAATTTAACACTGTGCTACACTATTCAGTGTTTTTCCATTGAATAATTCTTCTTTTCAACGAATTTTTCGGCTGCTTTGAAATACAAAATTTGAATATAAAAATTTGATTCATCAAAATTCTAATTGAAAATAACAAAAACCACAACAACAAAAATACCTCATTAAAAATCTTTTTGAAATTCCAGGTAAGAAAATTGTTTTTCTGGTTCTCGGTTTTATGATTAGGTTTGCTGTTGATGATTATGTATGAAAGACATTTACGAATCGCCTTGCAAAACAACAAAAATCAATTTTCCATTCAATTTAATTTTTTTTTTTATTACACCACACAAAATAGCTGATGATAGTCTTCTTCTTCTTTGTCGCCGATGCTATATAGCTGGCTGGCTGGTTGAATTTTAGATTCAAAAATAGATTCAGAATGAATGACTGAATAGATGATTATTAACGGGATTGATTTAATCGATCATTCTGTGATTATTTTCCAAATGTTGGTTGTGTTGGTTGTTTGAAAATTGAATTGAATTTTTCAAAAATTTTCAAATTAAAATTCATGATTACCAATAATAAAAACGAATGATGATGAAGGAAGGGAAA